CTGTCGGAGAGGGGGGGCGGGGGCGGGGGGGCGCGGGGGGGGGGGGGGGCAACAGGGAAAGGGGGAAATGGGTGCGCCCTGGTGGACTGCATTGTTTCGTCGACAGATGCACGCCATGGGCGTCTGGGGGCCGGCATGTGAGTGCCTCGCCCTCCTGCCTTCGTCCCCAAGCCCAAACCTCCAACCCCCCCCACACCCCACCCTCCCGACAGGGCATCTACTCCAGCGACTTTGTGCAGTTCCTGATCAACTGCCTGACCTTCTGGATCCTGCTGTCCTACCTGGTGCCCATCTCCCTGTTTGTTACGCTGGAGATCGTCAAGTTCTGGCAGGGCTTTGTCTACATCAACCTGGACCCGGCCATGAAGGACCCGGCGTCGGGGGAGCATGCGCGGTGCCGCAACTCGGGCCTGAACGAGGACCTGGGCCGCGTGGAGTACATCTTCTCCGATAAGACGGGGACCCTGACCAGCAACGAGATGCAGCTGCGCGCCGTCGCCATCAAGGGTGTCGCCTACGGCGACACATCCTTCAGGTGGGAGCTGGGAGGAAGGTGGAGGGGGTCCGATGAGGGGTGTGAGGTCTGGAGCGTCGGACAGAGGGACTCAGGCCGGAGCCCAAGTAGTTTGGAGTGCTCAGTGGAGCGCTGACTGCAAGCGCGCAGCGCTGCATGGCAACGCCCTTGGTTTCTCGTGGAGTGGTCGCCCGTTGCCTGCCTGGCCCCTTTGTTGGCTCTCCGAGTTGCTATAACTGCACGACTCCACCTCGACCACATCCACCCCGCTCCCCCTTTCCTTCATTCAGGCTGGAGGAGCACGAGGAGCTGACCGACCTGGCGGCGCTGCAGCGCTTCGACCCCCGGCTGGCCGACGCCGCGGCGGGGCTGGCCGCCTCCTCCAACGCCCTGCAGCGCGTGGTGAGCCGGGGCGGCAGCTCCTCACGCGTCCTGTCCCAGGCCAGCTCCTTCAAGCGCGAGTCGGAGGAGGGGCCCCAGCGCAGCCCGGGGGACGCGGGGGTGGGCACCCTGTCCTCCCACCTCATGGACTTCTGGACCAACCTCTGCATCTGTCAGTCCCTGATCCTGGAGGACGATCCCAAGGGCGACAAGCCCCTGTACCAGGTGTGACTGGTGTGGAGGGGGTGCTGGGAGTGGGGTCTGGGAGTGGGAAACCAGACATCTGACCCAGCCTGCCCTCGTGCTGGAGCTCCGCACCCACCTCCGTGGCCACCTCCCCCCCCCGAAGCACACCGACTCCAGGGTCCCTCCCCCGACGAGGTGGCGCTGGTGGAGGCCGCGCGCCAGCTGGGCTTCGAGTTCGTCAGCCGCTCCCAGACGGGGCTGGTGCTGAGCATGCTGGGGGAGGAGGTGGAGTACGAGGTGCTCAACATCCTGGAGTACTCCTCCGACCGCGGGTGCATGAGCGTCATCGCGCGCGCCCCCGACGGCACCATCCGCCTGTTCTGCAAGGGCTCCGATGCCAAGGTCATGAGGAAGGTGCGCCCCGGCACCGACCCCGTCCTGCTCCGGCAGACCGACGAGAACCTGCACACCTTTGCGCGCCAGGTGGGGGTTTGGCGGGCGCTCGATCCCTGAGCGCCGGGGCTCGAGGGGTGGTGGAATGTGGCGATGGGGATGGGCGGGGGGGGGGCGACTGGATGCCTGAACCTGGGGCATCGAGCTGCAGAGGGGGCGCGGCGTCCAGACCGCAGCTGGCTGCCGGCCCCGCGGCACACGGCCGCGGGACCGGGGTGCCAGTTCCTCGACCCCTCCTGCTGGCCCCGCAGCTGGTCGCTCCTCGGCTCGCCTGGGCACGCCACCGCCCCCTCTGCGCGCCTGAACACTCCCCACTCGACAGACCCCTGCTTGCATCCCTCCAGGGCCTGCGAACCCTGGTGCTGGGAACGCGCATCCTGGAGGAGCAGTGGCATGCCGCCTGGGACGCGCGCTACCAGGAAGCTGCCAGCAGCTTTGAGGACCGGGACGGGAAGCTGGACGCCCTGGGGGATGAGGTGGAGAGGGAGCTGGAGCTCGTGGGGGTCACCGCCATCGAGGACAAACTGCAGGTGGGGCTGGGAGGAGGCCGCACCATGCTCAGCCCGTCGGTGTCGGCGCCCAGAGAGGCGTGGGTGCAAGGGATTGCCGGTCGTGTTTGGGACAAGGATGCCTGTGCGCTGTGGGGTCAGCGTGGAGGTGCCCGTGCTCCCTGGCCTCACCCCCCGGGCCCTTCACCCGCTGGGGGCCAGCACCCACCTCCCCCGGGCCCTTCACCTGTTTGGAGCCAGCACCCACCTCCCCCGGGCCCTTCACCTGTTTGGAGCCAGCACCCACCTCCCCCACTCCCTGTGTTCAGGATGGGGTGCCGGCCGCCATCAAGACCCTGCTGACGGCGGGCATCCGGGTGTGGATGATCACCGGGGACAAGATGGAGACCGCGGTGAACATCGCGGTCTCCTGCCAGCTCGTCAAGGACCCCGACAGCATCATGATGCTGGTCGTGGATGAGAAGCAGGATGGTGAGGGGGGGGGGGGGGGGGGGGGGGGGGGGGGGGGGGGGGGGGGGGGGGGGGGGGGGGGGGGGGGGGGGGGGGGGGGGGGGGGGGGGGGGGGGGGGGGGGGGGGGGGGGGGGGGGGGGGGGGGGGGGGGGGGGGGGGGGGGGGGGGGGGGGGGGGGGGGGGGGGGGGGGGGGGGGGGGGGGGGGGGGGGGGGGGGGGGGGGGGGGGGGGGGGGGGGGGGGGGGGGGGGGGGGGGGGGGGGGGGGGGGGGGGGGGGGGGGGGGGGGGGGGGGGGGGGGGGGGGGGGGGGGGGGGGGGGGGGGGGGGGTGTCGTGTCTGGGCGTGGTGTGCAGGGAAGGGATGTGTCCTGGCAGGCCACCCCCCCGGCGTCGCAGATCTTGTCGTCCCTGAGAATCGCGAGCCTCCCGAGGAACATCCTCTTCCAGGACCCTCCCCTGCGGATGTCACCCCACGCCGTGACGACTCCCCCCCCCGCCAGCAATCAACCCCACCTCAACCCCTGCAGACCCGGCCACCGAGGCGGACCGCCTGCTGGACGCGTGCATGAAGCGCACGCTGGAGACGTACGCGCGGAGCAGCGGGGAGCGTGTGGCCACCCTGGACCAGGTCCCGCACTCCTGGCAGGCTGAGGAGATGGCGGTGGACGGGCACACGCTGAACTACATCCTGGTGGACGAGGCGCTGTCGAGCAAGCTGGCGCTGCTGGCCGCGCACTGCAGCGGCGTGGTGGTGTCGCGCTCCTCGCCCTCCCAGAAGGCGGGCGTGGTGCGGCTGATGACCGCCTACGAGATGGAGCGGGTGACGGGGACCCGGCGCGGGCTGCGCCGCTGGTACGCGCGGTACAAGCGCCGGCTGTCGGGCAAGATGCTGAGCATCGGAGACGGGGCCAACGACGTCGCCATGCTGCAAACCGCCGACGTGGGCGTGGGCATCATGGGCAAGGAGGGGCGCCAGGCCACCAACAACTCCGACTACGCCATCACCCAGTTCAGGTGCGAAGCAGGATGGTGAGGGGGGGGGGGGGGGGGGGGGGGGGGGGGGGGGGGGGTGTCGTGTCTGGGCGTGGTGTGCAGGGAAGGGATGTGTCCTGGCAGGCCACCCCCCCGGCGTCGCAGATCTTGTCGTCCCTGAGAATCGCGAGCCTCCCGAGGAACATCCTCTTCCAGGACCCTCCCCTGCGGATGTCACCCCACGCCGTGACGACTCCCCACCCCGCCCAGCAATCAACCCCACCTCAACCCCTGCAGACCCGGCCACCGAGGCGGACCGCCTGCTGGACGCGTGCATGAAGCGCACGCTGGAGACGTACGCGCGGAGCAGCGGGGAGCGTGTGGCCACCCTGGACCAGGTCCCGCACTCCTGGCAGGCTGAGGAGATGGCGGTGGACGGGCACACGCTGAACTACATCCTGGTGGACGAGGCGCTGTCGAGCAAGCTGGCGCTGCTGGCCGCGCACTGCAGCGGCGTGGTGGTGTCGCGCTCCTCGCCCTCCCAGAAGGCGGGCGTGGTGCGGCTGATGACCGCCTACGAGATGGAGCGGGTGACGGGGACCCGGCGCGGGCTGCGCCGCTGGTACGCGCGGTACAAGCGCCGGCTGTCGGGCAAGATGCTGAGCATCGGAGACGGGGCCAACGACGTCGCCATGCTGCAAACCGCCGACGTGGGCGTGGGCATCATGGGCAAGGAGGGGCGCCAGGCCACCAACAACTCCGACTACGCCATCACCCAGTTCAGGTGCTCGCCGGGAGGGGGAGGGGGAGGGTCGTCTCGAGGGGAGTGGGGGGGCCCGGGCTGATGATTGAGCTCTCGCCTTTGCAGGGCTGATGGTTGGGGCGGGGCTTCTGGCGCAGCGGAATGGGTGGGGCTTGGAGGCGCAGACGTCGTGCAGGGGACTGGCATGGTTTGTGTGTGAGCGTCCATGCACGTGCATGTCCCTCGGCAGTGGAAGCTGGGATCGAAGGCGACTGAAGGAGTGCCTGATGGGCCAGATGCCTCTGCATCCTGTTGCCCTGTCAACCGCGCACGCCCTCCCGTGTCATGCTGCAGCCATCCCAGCCCACCTGCCAGCTCACCCATTCATGAAACCCCCCTTTCTTCCTCAGGTTCCTGGTGCCGCTGCTGCTGGTGCACGGCAACCTGTCCTACTACCGCATCGCGCGCCTGATCAAGTACTCATTCTACAAAAACATCACCTTTGCCTTTGTGCTCTTCTACTACCAGTTCTACAACGGTTTCTCGGGTGAGCAGAGCGGGGTATCGAGTGGGTGGTGGAGGGGGTGGGGAGCCCAGTGCCCCGCATCGCGATGCTGCAGCGTGGAGGGTCGCAGCCTGTCCCCCCCTTACGTTACTTCACCCCCAATCCCCCCCCCCCCGGGGGGGGTCCTTCCGAGGACGACGCACTCCCTCGACACCTGCGCCCCCCAACCAGTCGCCATCACACTCCCCCCCATCACCCCCTTCCCCCACCTTATCCCCCGCAGGCCAGGCGCTGGTGGACTCCATCACAGCGGCGGTGTTCAACGTGGTCTTCACCTCCGTCCCCATCCTGCTCTTCGCGGTGCTGGACCGCCCCGTGGCGGACCTGAAGACCTACATCCACTACCCGCGCCTGTACGACAAGTCGGAACTGCACACGCTGACCACCGCCAGCTTCTGGAAGACGGGCGTGGCCCAGGCCGTGGTCCATGCCGCCGTTTGCTTCTTCATCCCCTACTACAGCATCGCCACCAGCGGGCGCCACAACATCACCGACGTCTACAGCCTGGGCAAGCTGGCATTCGTCGCGCTCCTGGGAACCGTGAACCTGGAGGTGGCGCTGGTGGCGCGCTACTGGACCGTGCTCTTTGCCGTCTTCGTCGCGCTGTCCTACTTCCTGGTCTACCCCTACATGGCCATCTTCCCCCTCATCCAGCTGGGCCTGGACATCTATGACCCTGCCAACGTGGGCGTGTCGGAGAACGTGCTGGCCAGCCCCACCTTCTGGTTCGTCATCATCATCTGCAACCTGACCACCTTTGGGCTGCGCTTCGCGGAACGCACCGCCGACTGGTCCTTCAAGCCCCAGGATACTATGATAATGGCCGAGCACGAGGAGGAGGCGCGCAAGCAGGGCAAGGTGAGTGGGTGTGGGTGTGGGGTGGGGGCGGCCGTCGGTGAAGAAGGAGAGGAGCTGGGAAGGATGGTGTATAATGGCGGGTGTGAAGGTGGCAAGGGAGACGGAAGGCGTTGACGATGGAGTGCTGCCGAGGCCTTTGCCAGCTTGCGCCTGGGTCGGTGCAGGCCGCACCATTCAACGAGCATGCCAGAGTCGCAGGCGCCGCCGGGAGGCCTCCGGGGGTGCACGCAATCCTTCACTGCCGCCATCTGTTCGTCAACACGCTCCCCACCAACCCAGCCCCCCACCCCTCCCACGAGCAGAAGTGGCTGCAGCAGAACGTGAGCGCGGAGTCGCGCCTGCGGCTCAGTTCCCTGGGCATCGAGATCCCGGAAGAGGAGGAGGACACGCTGCGCGCCCGGCACTCCCCGCCGAGGCCGACGGCGCCCGGTGCGGCACACCCCGGACTGCCCCCGGCGTGATGCACCCTCCCCTGGCTTGGCCCCGGGGTGAGGGTCCTTGGTATACCCATACAGCGGTCTGGAAGCTTTCTTGAAGGATATGAATGGGAAGGGAGGGGGGGGGGCAGGGCGGTCAGGGCATATCTGACAGTCAGCGCGAGAGCTCAGGCAGGGCCCAAGGGTACATGCATCAGGCGCCCTTCAGGCGCTTGGCGGCGGGGGCGTCGCTTTGTGGGCCTGCAGCCGGCACGCCCATGGGTGCGCCGGGGTCTGTCGCCTCCAGGTCTGCCAGGGGGAGGCGCTGGTGCAGGGACGAGGGGTCTGAGAGGAGGGTGACGCCCTCCCCTGCGTCCGCCGACAGCTCGGCCTGGTGCGCCTTGCCCACGACGTGCACGCTGAGCTGGCGCAGCGTCGACGCGCTGGGCGCGATGCACTCCTCATAAAAGGCCTTTGGGGGGGGTGAAGGGATTTGCAGATTCCTCGGGAGTGATGATACAATCGACACGTGGTTCTGATGGATGTGCAGGGGGGTTGTCTTCCAGACCACCTCCATGGCCCCTACAAGGCCGTGCAACTGGACGATCCACAGGCCCTCTCCCTATGCGCACACTCCAGCGGCCCGATTGGCTGGCCAGCCCACCTCCCGCACGGCTCATCCCCTGGCCCCACACCTTGACTTCTGGAAGGGTGAGCTGCTGGAGCACCTCCACCTCTCGAGCCCGAGCGTCAAAGTCGTACTTTTGGCTGGTCACCGCCTCCCACATCCCATCGGCCTCCTCCACCATGCTCCGGTGCTGCGCCATGAGGAACGTGTGAACGAGATGGGGCACAGCACGATGCGCTCCCCTGCGTGTCCCTGGTAGGTACCACATGTGTCTCCTTCTGCAGCATGCCATCGGCTTGCAAGGCAAACTGCTGGAGCGCCTCGCCAGAGCGATCACCGCACACTCGCCTCCCAAACACACACACACACACCTTGAGCATCTTTGCGCTGATCACCGCGGCCCGGTGGTTCTCGAACTCCTCCTCGTGCATGCCCCGCAGCGTGGAGACAAAGCCGGCCAAGAACTCTAGGATGCGAGACTCCAGGTAGGCCGGCCCGTGCACGCCTGGCGGTGCCGGCAATGGAGGGGGCGGATGGTGGGGAATGGGATGATGTCGCCCTGAGGCGCCGCGCATCGGGCTGCAAATGCGTACCAAGGCCCCTATTCTTCTGTTGTCCCCAGGCTCTTTCTCAGGCTGGGATTGTCATGAACCCCGATGCCTCGCCGGCCTCCCCCTTCCCCCCACAGCCTCCCCACCTCCCAAGAAGACCCTTCATGACCCCCCTTCCCCCCACAGCCTCCCCACCTCCCAAGAAGTCCCATCATGACCCCCCTTCCCCCCGGTACCTGACACGACCACCACGGCAAAGCCGAGCAGACCGTGGGTCAGGCGCATGCCGGAGTGCACGCTGTAGCCCAGCTGCTCCTTGGTGCGCAGCGTGTCGTAGCATGGCTCCCCCACCAGCTGCTCCACCAGGTCGACGAGAGCGCGGGCGCGGACCCCGTCCCGCCCCGCCTGGCGGTACACCTCCGCCACGCTGTTCTCTTCCTCGCCGTTGCGCACGCCGGCGCGGTGGAGCAGAGGACCGCCGGCGGGCAACTCCACGGCGCGCTCCAGGGGCCGCGCCGAGGCCGGCGTCGCGCAGGGTCCCAGCACGCTGCGCACGCTGCGTGCCAAGTCCAGCGTGGCACGGGGGGGCACGTTGCCGTGCACAAGGGCCTCCAGGTGGCAGGTGTGGGACGCGTCGCCCAGCAGGGAGGAAAGGAAGGCCCGCACGTCGGCCAGGGTCATTGCGTCCAGCTCCTGAGGTGAGGGTGATGGGAAGACAGTGGGATGGGGATTCATTCAACGCTGCTTGATGTGGCTGAGGGTAAGACCATCACAGTCTACCTCAGACCAAGGAATGGACCCCCGATCCGACTCGTAGCCTCAACTGCAAGACACATGTCGCTGTTCCCATCCTGCTCGGGCTCTTCTGACTCATGGCATTCTCTGTCCAATACTGGACCCCCGCTAATTTTCCCAACACAACTCAGCACTCCCTCACGGAAGACCTTGAGGATGTCAGAGGCCTGCCACATGCTCTCCTTCAGTGACAGCAGGCGCAGGTAGGTGGCATGCTTGTGAGGCTTCATGTTCATGTTGCGGTACTGCATTCAGCAATGGGGTGGAGCGGAGATGAGACACCGAGACAGACAAGGATTGACAAGGGCTGGCAGGTGTGTCTTGGTTTGCTGCCACGCTGCCTTGTAGAGAACCCTTTGGTGGCATGCATTTTCATGTAGTGCATAGGTACCCACATGACAGGGTCATGAAACCGGACAGCAATGTCTTGGTGTACCTGAAGAACACAGCATGGATGCCAGGAACCCCAGACCAGAGCAGTACCTTGAGCTGCAGCCCCTCCAGAACTCTGGCGAACACTTCTTCTGTGACATCCAGCTCCCTGAGGGTGCCAAACACCGCATCCACAAGGGCCGGCAGCCGATGGCTGAATCCCTCCACCTTGATGTCGATGCCTGTTTGAGGTGGGAGGGGGGGCCGTCGTGCTTTCTATCCTGGGGGACCCAGCCGCAAGCTGCTTTGTTGGACGTTGGAGAGGCTCCAGGGTGAGAGTCATGGTATTCTCGCCCAGGCTGAACAGACCCACCTGCCAGCCTCAAACAAAAGCCCTTGATACAGTGCAAGCAGCCTCACCTGCTCGCCCCTCAAACCAGGTGTTGCAGTTGAGGCCTGCCACCTCAGCGAGGTAGCTGGTCTCGCACAGCCTGTCCTCCAGAAGCTTCAGCAGGAGATGGGCCCGGGCTGCAGATGCCGGCGTATCATACAGGGCCGGGGAGGAAAGCCGGAAATGGGCTGTCGTGCGTGGCAGCCTGAACGTCGAGTCCGTCTTGCTCCACAGCCTAAAGGAGGGAGGACGGGGCGGGTTGCGGCAGCCAATGCATGCTCGCATTCTGGCACCGTGCACGCACAGCCTTGTGCTCCTACACAATGCAACCTCACTGCTTGCAGGCCTTGGTCAGGGGGATGGACATGCTCGAGGTTGCTCTTCACCCCTAGAAATCCCTCACGCACCTCAGGCCAGGCTCGTCCACCAACAAAGCGGGTGGAGCAGGGAAGGGGCCCTCCTCGGCGGGCAACTTGGCCTCCTCACAGCACAGGGAGAAGTCGGTAGGAACAAAGTGGTTGGGAGGGGGGAGGCTCATGTCCTCTGTTGCGCGGGCCCCCTGCCACCTGGGATACAATGCAGGGGCAAGGGTGAGGGACTCGTATCAAATCCACAGCCCTGGTGTGGGACAGACCTAGTGCTGTGCATAGGTTAACAACGCTGCTCCAGCATGCTCAGTTTAAACTACATATACCACCAACATGAGAGCTCGCAAGCACCCCCCCGCCGTATGAGACGCTCTGTGCCACCCTCTTACCTCTCAAGGAGGTCTCCAGGGATGACGGCTTCCACATACTGGAAATCAAACCAGGGTTCGACGCCCTGCTTTATGTCTGGGATCTCTGCACATTGAGGCGTGGTGGGTTTGGGGTATAAACATCCAGATTTGGTGCGACACTTGCTGAAGTTGCCGCAACCTTACCGAGGAGCACCCCCGGGGCAGGAGTCTTCCTCATCACAGACCGCCACCATGCTTGCACCACTTCAGCCGGACAAGCTGGATGCTGGTCTCACCGCTTGCCAGGGCCTTGCACACTTCTTCATACTTGGAGGTCTGGATGTCGATCCTCACTGTCTGCGGGGTCATGCTGTCCAGCAGGGATGCAATCTGCAGGTTTGAAATGATGTGTGCTCAGGTATCAACTTCATTGCAAGCTGTGGTGGACTCCCAGTGAGCACATTTGGCACATAGCAGTGCTGACCTGGATTGGAGGGGAGTCATCCACCCAGGCTCCCCGGCACCATCGCTCCTGGCCTATTCCCTCCAACCGTGCGCCTCAGCCTGATTCCCTCCTCACCAGCTTCTCATCCCAGAGCTCGTGGACGTAGTCCCCGACCAGGGTGTGCTCCGGTGGGTAGCGATGCATGTCCATTGACAGATTCGTCACAAGGTTGCTCACGTCATCCTCCTCCTGGAACCTGGAAGGGGTTCAAGGTTGCAGGCGCAGAGGGCCTTGACTAGCAGCCTTACAGGTGAACGGCAATGCCTCTGCAGCAAATGCCTATCAAGCTGGAATACCACCTGGGAGGTCATGCATGGATCCGGCATGCAGCCCTCCAGCACTCCCTCACCTGAACTTCATGGCTGCGACATTGGCCATCTCCTCCCACGCCCACTTCTGGGGCCCGCTCTTCCTCAGCAGCTCCAGGTATGCAAACACCAGCTCGACGCAGGCCAGACCGGCGCCTGGGGCAAAGGTGGAGGGCAATTGTGTGTAGCAGGGCGTGAATGGCAGAGCTGTCGCATGACGGTGTGCTCCCGAGGTGGGAGGATGCTCAGCCACTAGTCCGGAGTGCTAGTGCTTACAAGGGGCATCCTGACCCTGTTTCCATCCTCCATGTACCTGATCCGTGCGCCAGCCCTGCCTCAGTGAGGGAGATGACAATGTCAAAGAGATAAAATGCGGTGCTCTGCTCGGTGACGCCGCCAGACAGCTCCGAAGCCCAGCCCCGGCTCTTGAGGGCTGACAGGAGTGACCCCCTCCCTTCATGGCCGATGAGGTGGGACAGGTAGTCGTCAGCCTTCTTCCTGTGTAAGGAGGGGTGCTCGTATTGGTAAGAGAAGGAGGGCTCTCTACATCGTGGCCCAGAGGCACAGTTGGCACAGCTGGGACTTTCTGATGGTGATGCTTTGGAGGATAACAGGCCTTTGATCATTGACACACTGTCACCATAACCCATGCATCATATTACGCATGCTGCGGACCATGCATGCAACACACCTGCGATCTTAAGTGCAGCCTGAGCAGTGCCCCCAAAGCAAACCTCATTGCTTTCTGAGGCATCAACGGCTAATCCCCCTCATAGTCGCACTCACCTGTACTCAGCATGCAGGCATGGGAGCTGGAAGGTGAGCTGCAGGTGATGCGCCTGCCGTACTGCCTGAAGGCAGTAGAGTCTGCCGCCCTGTAGGGTAGATGATGCAGGGGGATGGTGTTGTCATCGTGGCCGAGGATGCACCTAGATGCACAATTGTGTGGCTGGCCGCAGATAACGTTCCATGGCGAGAGCAAAGCCTCTCCTTCCTTTCCCCCTCCCCCCCCTGACAAAAGAGAGACAAAATCTGCACAACAGTCACCTGAAATGGGAACCCCGCCTCCGCATAGCTGGGCCGGGGCCCTCTGCCCCCCGGCACCCCTCTGAACTCATCCCTGACCCAGGCCTCCAGCTCATCCAGGGTCTCCCCGCCCAGGAGTACCAGGTTCATGCGCTCCGCGCTGTACTGCTGCGTGTAGTGCCGCACCAGCCCGCCCCTGACGTCCACCCCCGCCGCCGCCGGCTCCTGCGCCAGGCTCCTCCTGTTCCCCCAACCAAACTTGGAGAGCTCGTGGCCGGGGCGCGCGGTGTGCGCCCGCAGCTGCTGTGCCCTGCAACCGTCGCTCTGGGCCACGCCGGTGAACTCGTTGTCCACCGCCTGGACCTCCCGCTCCAGCGCATCCGCCTTGATCAGGGGGGCCACAAAGAATTGGGAGAAGCGCTGCAGCGCACCCTGCAGCGCGGAGGGCTTGCAGTCGAAGTAGAATGTGGTGGCCTCCTGGGGAGAGGAGGGGACATTGGGTGGGGAGGGGCATGGAGGGGAAGAAGCATGGAGGGGAGAGGGACAGTAGCGATGGGTTTAGGGGGAGATGAGGGAATGTAGGAGGAAGGTGATGCGAAAGGTAGGAGAAAACAGATGCTGCCAGCAATGCTACGGCTTGAGCAGTCCTTAGCTCGGCAGCATTTAAACCCATAGCCAGATGCCAGTCCCGTCAGCCTTTCCGTCTTCCATCTCACGTTTTCGGTGCATGCGTTGGAGGCGCCGCCGTGAGCGGTGAGGAACGAATCAAAGTCATTCTCGTCCGGGAATTTCTCGCTGCCCATGAACAGCATGTGCTCCAGATAATGGCTCAGCCCCTAAAGGGAGAGCAAGGAATGGGGTCGAGGGACCTAACACGGGGCATTTTGTGTGTTTGTGTGTGTGTGTGCGTTCTGGTACTCAATGGCATTTGCCTGGTAAGCGATGCAGTCAGCGCACCTGCTGCGTCTCCTGCGCACCCAAACACAGATTTCAGGACACCCGAGGCGCTCAGCGCAATGCATGACCTTGGCCTCCTCTTCACTCGATCTACCACACTAAATCAGACACACTTACATACCTGCAGCTCCCAAGGGTCCGAGAAGCTGCCGATGCCCACACTGAGCGCCGCTGCCGCCTTCTTGACACCGCCGGCCGGTGCCTCTGCCTCAATGTCCCCCTCCCCCTCAGCGTCAGATCCCTGCATTAAGATGAGACGATCAGATCGTGCGTATACGTATTGTACGGCGTTGCACAGCCCGCAGGGGACGAGGTCATCAATCCAACACCCAGCACACCACCACACCCCCAGCTACCGGCAGTACTCACCTCACTCTCCGAGCCCGACTCGCTGCTGGAGCCCGAGTGAGACACCGGCTCCGCTTCCTCAGCATCCTCCTGAGTAGTATCTACTATCTCACCGTCGTGGATGAGCAATGCACGCAAGCCATTGTCCAAAACAATGTATCGGTAATCCTTCTTGTCGGCGGGCGACTTGATAACTGCGACCATGGCCCTCCCGAGCCTGCGCAGGTGTGAGGTGATACTTGAGAATATGGGATGTATCTGTGAGTGTCTGGATGATCTCCCAGCCATTGGTCTGCAGCGTGATCACTGTGACAAAATGTCGTGCTCGCGGCCGCGCCCCCGGCTCAGCTTCACTTCAGCTAACCCTGCTTGCCTTAATGGACGCCCGGCGTGTGCATACAGACATACTGCAAGCATTGTGTCTATGGATGTCAAAACAGACCACAGTAAAGGCCAGCATTATTTTTGCAAGAAGCATTAATGGGATGGTCTTCGCCAGCCTTTGATCATCTGTCAAACAAGCTCGGCAATCCAAGTGAGGGGAGCTCAACTGTTGACCGTCTTGACAGCAAATGCGATGATGCCTGCAGGGATTTGTGCATTTGATATATGAGGTCCTGGATGGCATATTATGGATGCACCATGTGGCTGCTATCACAGGTGCACAGCATATGAAGCATGGTGTGGAAGGGGGGGGGGCCCCTTTTAAAGTTGACCTCAACCTACCAGCGGCAATGGCCAGGAAAGACAGGCCTTCAGCAGCACCAACTAGTCCGTAAGGGCCAGCAGGGAGCCCAGATCCACTGGAGATCTTAGTCTTCACAGACCATGCCACCATGGCCGTCACGACCAGGTAGCTCAGGCCCTCTGGCAAGAGAGGGGGTGGGGGGAGTGGGGAAGAGTGGTGGGATCGTTGCTGTGGAAGCGGCGGATCATGTACACGATGCACTTTTGAAATGTCAATTTGTGATAGTTGCATGCTTGCTGGACAGAGTCCTGTCAACCCGTACCTGCAGCACCAAGGACACCACTGGGTCCAGGTGGGAGGCCTGACCCTGTCGTCGCCAGTGTGTACGAGCTCCATAGGACTAGAGGTGCAGCAAAGACCCCTGCCACGCCCGCAGCAAGCTGCAATTTGGAGTCGGTTCCTCCTCCCAGCTCGGCGCGTGCTCCGACATGACGTTGACGCGGAGTGGGATGGGTGATGCCTGTGGTGGTGGGTGCAGCATGAGCGAGATGGGGATGGTCAGAGAGCTGTGAACTTCACGCCCTGCCCCATCATGCGTATGAAATCGTGTCCATGCCCAGCATCCGACCATGGAACGGACCTAGGCTGCGAATGCCACCTCTGCTGGGAAGGCGGAGAGTGGCATGAAGCACTGAGAAACCAGGTCGAGTACTGGCCGAGGATGCGATTCGGAGGCTCATGGTGGGTTGGATCACAAGCCGCCAAGACCAAGTAACGAAATGGATATTTAGTGAATGTTGTTCAGGCTCATTGATTCCTGTTGGCACCGAAACCCACGCTGCATGATCCGCAAGGCAAGGTGGGTCTCAGGGAGGACGGAACAGATTTCGGGGAAGCATGCTGGCCAGGTGATGATAGCATGCTGGCACGCCATTCCTCCCTCGCAGAGATAAACTTTTGCATCGTCACCTTCAATACATGCTGTCTTCAAATCAAATGCAAGGGCATTCACAGCAGTGCTGTTGTGTAGATTTGCGGTCAAGAGGTTGGGGCTGGAGCAGGGATTCCTCACTGGCAGCTGCCAGGCCCCAGGGGTGCAGCGGGGATGCCCAGCTTGAGCAGCCAGCATCGGAACTGTGCGAGGCGCGGCCCCGCCGCAGCCAGACTGGTGACCGTCCCCGGGGACCAGAGCCGTTCTGCGACGGCCGCGGCGGCCGGCCAGCCCCTCTGCAGCGCGTTGGTGTCGTCGATGAACTCACCCCACAGGCAGGCCTCGCCGCCCAGCACTAGATCGCGCTGCACGGGGGGGAGGGGAGCAGGGCAGGTGGGGAAGGCTGGGCGCGGGGTGTTCCTGCCATTGTCCCTGGGGAAGGAGGGGCGGTGAAAGGCCTGGCCGGGATTTGGTGGCTCCTGGCTGCCGCGTGAGTGTGCCGCCACGCCGGCGCCACACCAGCTTCCCTGGGTGCCTTCGGCCAGCCACAGGTCCCCCAGCCCTCACCTGGGTGGAGTTCCTTGCCGGGAACGCCGTGGGGTCTGCTGCGTAGTACCGCTTCCAGTCCTCCTCCGCAAACGTCCCTAGGTTCAGGTACCAGGGGGCGGAGAGGAGGGCGCCGTGCCCCGCAGCGGTCACGGCGCTCAGCTTGGCGGCCCAGACGTGGGGGTCTTCGGGCCCCGGGGACGCCAGGCCGGGCCCCAGCGGCATGCTCCGAGTGGTCGTGGCCTCTGCTGCCCACCCTGGGCCTTCCCACGCCATGCGCCCCGCCATCAGGCGCCGGGCCGAGGCGCGGGCCGCCGCGCCTTGCTCCCGCTCCCTGCCCTCCCCCCACCACTTCCAGACGTGCACCAGGGTCTTGGGGTCCAGGCCCGCGCCTGCCCTGCCAAAGGCCTCCTCCCAAACCACGGGCACCCTGCCCAGCGCGAGGGCCAGGCCCTGCATGCGCAGGAGCCAGCGCTGTTCCAGGGCAGCTGAGTCGTGGGCGATGCCGTGGTCCCTCATCCAAGCTGTGATGTTTGGGTTGCTCTGCGCAGGTGTGGGGCGTGGGTGAGGAAGAGATCATGTTGGAGCGAGAAGCCGTGCCCAGGTGTGTTTCGGGCACGTTCCTGGCATGACGAGGGCCGCGGACCAGAGGGTCGAATGCGAATCAAACCCTTACAACCCAGACCCCTCCCTCTTCCATCTGAAAGGACACGCTCAGGCACTGACCTCCCAGCAGGAGGGGTCCACCTCGTCCCCTCCCAGGTGCAGGGCGCTGTCGGGGAAGACGCGGGCAGCCTCACGCAGTAGGCGCCACATCAGCCCGTAGGCCTCTGGGCGGGTGGGGTCGATGGGCCCCCACCTGCCTTCCAGCCGCCGTCCATCGTCGCCGTAGCACGCTGCCAGCAGGCCTGGGAAGGCCTTGCCCCATGACAGGGTGTGGCCAGGCGTATCAAACTCCGGCAGGACACGAATGCCACGCTGGCGAGCGTAGGCCACGATCTCGACGACGTCCCCCAGGCTGTACACCTCAGACGTGCGGGGGGGGGAGGGCGGGGGGAAGGCATGGTGCTCATCCGTATCCAGTTGCAGACAGATGCCTTCGCAGCAGTTGAGCCTTCACTGGGAGAGCGTGCTGCTTGCCTTATAGAAGCCGTGCGGCAGTCACCATCGCCAATGCTCCCTCGTAAAGAAGCCCCACCTTGCTGAAAGCTCCCTGCGCGGGCAGCTCTGGGAGGGCCTCGGAGCCATAGCCAAAGGACTGGTCATCCACAAGGTGCCAGTGCAGCACATTCAGCTTGGAGGCAGACATCGCGTCCAAGTGTGCCTGGCAGGAAAGGGCGACGTGAGGATGCACATCAGTGGAGTGATTCAGCCTCACCAAATGTCCCACAACACAACATGGAGACCGTACAACCGCAGGCGAAGTCGAGCACACAGGCTGCAGAACATCCGCACTGAGACTGCAGCATGCTGGCAACAAGCCCCTGGTCTCTTCTCAGTCCCGCTGCTCCCCCACCGCAACAGCACACCTTGATGGTGTCCATCGACAGGAAGTGACGCGCGGTATCAATGAGCAGGCCGCGGTGTGGGAAGCGCGGTGCATCGTGTATCACCGTCTCCTGCACACCCAGGATCAGGGTAGTTCGGCGCCGGTGTCGTTTCTGACTGTGATGGCGATGGCCGTTCGGGACGTCAGCCTCTCCCTCCTGCTCAGGCCCCTCGCTGCTCGCCTCAGCGCCACACAGTCCGTCGCAGGGTCTCCGGCGCACCAGCTGGGCCAGGCTTTCCAGGCCATGCAGGGCGCCATACACCGAGACGGCGTGCAGCTTGATGGCTGGCGCAGCCACGACCAGGCTGTAGGAATCGTTGGTGGCTGGACCCAGGGACTGATCCGGCAGGTACACGGTGACGTGCACCGCCGTGATTTGAAGGGCGCGATGGTGGTGACGGCGGCGGCGATGGTGATGGTGGCCAACCTCATCAGGCAAAGGACCCGAGCCTGATGTGGCGGACACACCCCCTCCAGCAGCCGTTGCATTGCCAATGTAATCGTCTGACTGGGCACCTGGATGCTCCTGCGGCGGCTGCTCGGGCGCAAGGCGCAGGTGTTGGATGAATCTGGAGTGTGGGACCACAGATGCATGGAGGTTGAAGGTGGGCCGCCGGGGTCCAGCATCTTGCATTAGCACAAGGGCATGGCAGTCTTGTGGTCGACATTGCTCTGTGTCTGAGGGAACATATCACCATGCTTCTCCCGGCAAAGCAGTCATCCATTGCCCCCAAGTCCCTGCTACCTGTCGAGCCCATGCTGCAGGATGTCAGAGTCTGCACCCTTGACTTCAAGGGACAATCGAGAGGCCTCCAACCAAAATTGGCGATTTCCATTGGTCTAGAAGCGGAAGCGAAAGGGAAAGGGTGTGCTGCTGTCAGCAGGGTTCCCAGGGAACATCAAGGGCCCCCCCTTCATCGGATCAAGCAACCACCTTTCTTCACCTGACGCTCAGGTTGAGGCCAGATACTGGCATCTAAAGCAATGCATGAGGTTGCGAGCCCCAGGAGGGCGAGCCCCGCCCGCATCATGTCGTGGGTCGCTACCATGGCGTGAGTGCTTCGAACCGCCCAAGAAAGGAGTCAACTAGCCGGCGCGGCCTAGCCCCGGCAACCCATTTTTGATATATTCCAAGGCATCAGCGAGAGCGGGGGGGACATCGTCCAGTGAGATCACCCCCTCATGTAGTGCAGGACGAGCGATCTCCCGCATTTTGCGGTGGGAATGTGCGGGCGGTGCTGCGGAAGGAAGGCAAGAAAAATCTATGTGACTCGGCGTCCAGGATCCGCTCTCCTCCCCAGGGCCCCCAAGATCACACCATTGCCCTCTTTCCCATCCCAGCAATGGCCCTGCGACTGCACAGGATCGTTTCTAGCGCTTGAAGTCGTCGGGGTTGAAGGCTCGAGCCCCTCCACGTCGCGATCCGGGCGATCAGGCGCGCGGGTAGGCAGACCCCAAATGAAGTGACAACTTCGCACGGCGCCCCCCCCTACCCTGGTAGGTGTCGAACAGTCTACAGAGACATCATCTCGGCTCTGACTCTGTGAATGGGGTGGGAACCCTCCTGTGCGGCAGCCCGCATCGGACGTGGGTGACGGGGAGGAGGGCATTGCGCCGAACTGCCCTGCTCCGGTGGGCAGCCGTCTGATCGCCACACGCGACCTGTTCCCCCCCCCCTCGGCCCTTCAGCGCTCTGAATTGAGAAGCCCTCATACTCGTCGCAGGCGCTTGTGCAGTGGTTCGGGAGCGGCCCGGCGGCATGCGGGTAGGTGGCTTGGAGGCAGGGGGGAAGCATGGGGCTAGGGCATGGGCTGGCTGCTGGGGGACCCGACTCGCCACGCCACCCCTCGCCCCGAGTCCCAGCACGATGCACACCATTTCATGCACTCCTGTAGGACGATGCGGCTCAGGAAGTGATTGCGAATGGGGTTGCTCAGGCCACCATGCGGCGGAGCAGGCGGGTCACCGCCAGCTCCTACAAATCGACCTCCTCGTCGGGTACCCTGCCCCCCGGTGAGCGTGCAGGGGTTGGCAAGACATCTGGGTGTTCTAGAGGCTGGCGTTCCACATTGCAGTACCCCCGGGCGTCGGGGTTGGCACCCTGGTATATTCTCGCATGGGACAGGGAATGATCCCCCACCACCACCACCCTCTCGATCACTCCCACCTCGCACCACCCTTCTGTCCACCCTCCGAGCTGTGCCCTGCGCTCCTGCCCCTCAAAGGCTCCCTCGTCTTCAACAATAAGCCTTCCTGCAATCCCTCCCTCCGCCATGCCCCCCCGCAGCCACCACTGCCCGACATGACTCCAGCCTGGGCCTGCTGACGCGACGCTTCCTGAGCCTGCTGAATGAGGCGGAGGACGGGAGTCTGGACCTGAACCAGGCCTCCGACATCCTGCGTGTGCAGAAGCGCCGCATCTACGACATCACCAACGTGCTGGAGGGCGTGGGCCTATTGGAGAAGCAGGCCAAGAACCACGTGCGCTACTGCTCCGGGCCGGAGACGCCCTGCGCGCACCGCGAGGCGGGCCGCGCCGCGGCCTCGCGCGGCGGCGGCGCCGGCGCCGAGGGCGAGGCGGCCGCGCTGCTGGCGGAAATCGCGGAGGAGACGGCGGCGGTGTGGGACGCGATGCGCGAGATGAGTGCGCACGCGCTGAACAAGCAGCGCCTGTACGTCTGGGACCGGGACGTGATGGGCCTGCCGGGCGTGGCGCGGGAAGACCGCGTGTTCGTGGTGCTGGCACCTCACGGGACCACCCTGGACCACTCGCCCTGCCAGGAGCCAGGGCCGGGCGAGGCCGCGCCGCCCCACAGGTCAGTGGGTTGGGTGGGGGTGGGGACGGGGGCTGAGGGGGAACGGCATGTGTATGTGTGGGGGGGGGTATTGAAGGGGAACGGTATGTGTAAGTGGGGGTGGTATTGAAGGGGAACAGTGTGTATGTGGGGGAATGGGGCAGGCGAGGACCCGAATCGCCCTCCCTGTGAGGAACAAGGGTGGCGCATGGGTGTGGCCGGCTGCGGGACGGGTTCTTTTGTGTCACAGCACCGTCATACGCAGGGCACGGTGCCGCGTACTTTGTCCCAGTGCCGCCCGCACACTCCGTGTCACCGCTTCGTCGCAACTCCTCCCCCTTCCTTGTTTCCCCCGCCCACCTGCCCGACCATGCCGCCCCCTCCCCACAGGATCATGGTGCGGAGCAAGAAGGAGCCCATCTCCATCGTCACCCTCCCCGTGGCGCGCCAGACCCTGCAGCCCGGGTGGGGCCTGGGCCCTGCCCAGCCGCCGCCGACCAGCCTGGCGACCCCGGGCTGGCCGGGGTCGTCCTTCCTCATGCCCCGGACAGGCCTCGCGCTGCGTGAGGCGCATGCCGGCTCCGTGGCCGACGCCTGGTACCGCGCCGTCGCCGCCAACGGCGCCGGCCCGACCGCCGGCGACGGGCTGCCCCTGGGCAGCGAGCTGGACCCTGGGGAGGGGGGCGGCCTGCTGCCCGGACAGCACAGCCTCCCGGGCGGGGCGCTCGCGCATCCACAGGCCTTTCTGGCGCGCAGCAGCGCGCATGAGGGCGGTCCGTGAGACCAGGGTAGGACCTCCAGCCCTCGCAGGTGCCGGTCACACAAGCATGTCACTCGGGGAAGGCTGCAATCCCGGCCGTCTCTGGCGCCCAGGCTCCTCACGGGACAGGGAAGCTCCGTGCCCCTGCGCGCATGGTGCTCCGACCAGCGTCCATCTGTGAGACTCGCAACCCCAGCGGCACAGGCTTTCGTTCAATGTTTCCTCCCTGACACCGACGCATCTCAGCAGACCTCCTTGCGGGCCCTCCGTGGGAAACGTGGATGTGGGGGGGCCCCACTCTGTTCTCAGGATATTCGGCATTTTTCATGCTCAGCGAATCCACTGGCCCTTTCCAGGGTCCAGCTATTTAGGAGATTGAGCACCTCCCGAAACACCTTTTCCCTGTTTCAGCTCCATCCCACACTAAGCTCCGCCCGTCCTGATGGGACCACGTCCCATGGTCTGGCTTCCCAGCCTGTTTGCGTCCTGAAGCTCTTCGGAGGTTTGCTCCCTTCCCTGTTGATCAGCTATTTATTGCCAGTTCGATCGTGCCCATGTTCACCGTCATTTGAGGATTAAATGGAATGCCGCCCGAGCAGCCGGAGGGTCAGTGTGTGAGTGCGATGAGTACGAGGGCGGCCACTGCCAGGCCGCCAGACTTGAAAAAGGCGTCGCCGGTCCAGACGTCGGTCAGTCCATGCTCTGCGGCGTGGATGCTGCTGCGCCGGCGCGCCGGCGCATGCACTTGGCTGCAGTAGTAGGGGAGGAGGATTGGGGGTTGTGAAGTAGTCGTCAGAGACTCCCTTATGCCACTGGCCATCACACCATTGACCTCCTCCAACTATGAGGACATTGGCACTTCAAGACAAAAACCATTTTGCTGATTACCATGCTCCTGTCCAACCCTGTGCACCTGGAAAGAATGAAGGGGTCGGGATGCATCTCCAGGTCGTCTGGCCTTCCCCTGCCCTCCTTGAAGCTGGAGAATCCGGACCTGGACTCCATCGCTCGCAAGCGCACGGGTCCCGGCGCAGAAATGCTACGGCTCCCATCATGCTTCAGAGAGGTTGGTCGGGCGTGTGTGAGGTGCACGCGATGCGCTATGCCACCGAGCGACTGCATGGCGCGTGGTCAGGGATACCGGCAGCAGCAAGGGAAAGCTTCACTCTGCAAGCTTTTCGTCACGACACAGATATTGTGCAGGTTTATGTCTACTTCCTCGTGCCCATACCCTCTTGATACGTGTGAAGCAAGGACGACGTGCGCACGTCTGGCGTCGGGCAGTCATGCCTCCAAATCTAAGAAGATCGGACTCCCGGATCTGGTTTTGCGGAGAGGGCACTCCCGGGGCTCCTAGCCCGCTTCTCAGCCGAGAGATCAATGAAGTGGAGTGGAAGTCTTGCCCTGCATGCACTCAAGATCGTCGCATGTTCTTATCCAAGCATCAGGCACTCTATTTCTTCGCGACATCGATAGGTATTGGCCGATCTAACGACACCACCTCTTTGCTGGTAAAGTGTTTAAACTTTCTTTCGCAACATACGAATACCTCTTCGACATAGTCACTGCCTGTAAATTCTTTAAATATGTAGGTAGAAGAGTCGCGCCTAAAAGCACGTTAACTATACTTCATGACGATTCCCACGTGGTTGGAAGTCGACAGGCACATGGGCCGTAGCCATCACGCCAAAGGCGTGTCGTGATCCACTGGCGGGGCGGACTGATAACCATGCGCACGGTCGGGGCAGCCTCGACCCACATTATTTATGCATTAAATCCAGCTACATCTGCAGCCGTGAAACGGACGGTCGTGACGCCGCTGCCCCCCTGCCCGGATGTGCCAGCCCAAGCTCCCACCCCCCAGCGATCTGGTGGCGGGGTTAACCTCCTCCCCACCCACCCTCCCCTGCCGCTTCCTGTACGATGCCAAGGGCTCCCAGCTCTACTCCCAGATCACCGACCTCCCTGAGTACACCCCGTACCGCGCCGAGCTGGGCCTGCTCAAGGAGCATGGCACAAAGCTGGCCACCCTCATCCCCCCCCACGCCCTGGTCGTGGAACTGGGGTGCGGGGACGCCACCAAGACCTCTCACCTCATCCACTCCCTGCTGGCCTCCCGCGAACCCGGCGCGGTGAGGTTCGTGGGCATCGACGTCAGCGCCGAGGCCCTGCGCCAGACCGACCGCACACTGCGCGAGAGGTGCCCGGACCTGCCCGCCGCGGGGATCCAGCTGGTGGAGGCGGACTACCTGACGGGCCTGCGCGCCGTGCGCAGCGCCAACCCGGACGCCACGCTGTGCCTGCTGTGGCTGGGCAGCTCCATCGGGAACTTTGGCGAGGGCGAGGCCTCCGAGTTCCTGGCCGGCCTGGTGGCGGCGGCGGGCGGCGACACGCGCGTCATCCTGGGCGCCGACGGCTGGAAGGACCGGGGCGTGCTGCACGCCGCCTACTGCGACGCCGCCGGCGTCACCGAGCGCTTCATCGTCAACGGCGTGCAGCACGCGCTGCGCTTGCTGAGGCACCCGGACGCGCGCGCGGCCGACCTGTGGGACTACGAGGTCGTGGTGAACGAGCGGAGGAGCCAGGTGCCTGTTTGGAGGGGGGGATTGTCATTCAGAAGTTTGAGGTAGCTGCACTGCTCCCACCTCACCACCAACGTCCCATCGCCATGTCATAAATGCCCGCCCAGGTGGAGATGTGGGTGTCGCCTAAGCGGCGGGTGTCTGACATCGTGCCGGGCGTCAGTCTGGAAGCTGGGGAGAAGCTGCTGGTGGAGATCTCCAGGAAGTTCACGCCCCTGAGCATCGCCGCGCTAGCCGATCAGGCCGGCCTAGTCGTGCAGGTTGGAAGAAGGAGGGCGGGGGGGGTGGGGGCTTTTCGGGTATGCAAAATTGATGGAAGGGGGAGAAGTGGTTGCGGCCAAGCTCTGGGTTGGGGCAGCCCTCAGTGTTGGGGGTGGCTGCGGTGCATGTCCTCAGAGGTCAGCCAGCCAGTATATGGGAGTTTTGATATCACACAGACATCCCATGTACATATCAGGGCACCCGCTTGAGCTTCCCTGATCTTCAAGCTTGATCCCGGAGTTCACTCCTGTGTCGCGCACATCCCCCGGACCCCCCTCCCTACCTGCCACAGCCACCATCTCCAGCCCTCCCCCACTCCACAGGAGTCGTGGCGCACGCCCGGCTACTCCCTGCAGCTCCTGCTGCCGGCCGTGCAGGCCCTGCAGGACGCCTGGCGCGACACCGACACCCTCTTCTCGTCGGTTGCCAGCTGGTCCGCCCAGCCCATCGGCCTGCGCCACCCCTTTTCTTTCTACTACGGCCACCTGGCCTCCTTTGCGCGCTCGCGGCTGCTGCCCGGGCGGCCCGCCGGCCACCTGGACCTGCTGTACAGCCGCGGCATCGACCCCTGCGTCGTCGACCCCAGCCGGTGCCACGCCCACCCCCCGCCCCCGCCCACCTGGCCGGGCAGGGAGGAGGTGCGTGCCTACGCGGTGGGCGTCCGCGCCGAGGTGCTGGCCGACGCGCGGGCGCTGCCGGCGCGCACGCACGCGCTGCACATGGTGCTGGAGCACGAGCGGATGCACCAGGAGACGCTGTGCTACATGCTGGCGCAGCAGCGCGGCGCGGACGCCGCGCTGACTCAGCGAGAGGGGGTGCTGGGGGCCTTGGCCGGCCGCTGGGCGGGGTGCAGCTACCGGGCGACTGAGCAGCGCTGTGCCGACGCCGCGTGGGTCCATGTCCCCGCCACCCAGATCCAGCTGGGGCTGGGCAGGGCGGCGCGCCACGGGTTTGTCTGGGACAACGAGCTGGGTACGCCGGCACCACAGGCGGTGCCGGCCTTCCGTCTGGCTTCCCACCCCGTGTCTGTGAGGGAGTACAAGGCCTTCATGGACGAGGCGCAGGTGGGCCTGCCGGGTTGGATCTTGAAAAGTGGCTGGCCGCGGTGTGGGTGTGGGTGTTTGTGTTGGTGGTGCAAGGAATCACTGAGTACCTGGAGGGAGGACTGGTCATTTTCCAATCGCAGTGCTAGATCTGAGCGTCTGAGCGCCGAAATTCTATGCCCAGCTTCATTGTCGTGCCCTGGACCCAAGAGCCTAACCGCCATCAAGCCCTGTCCCCTTTTAGCCATATGAGAGAGAAGGACTGTGGTCTGCCGGGGACTGGGCGCACATCTCCAGCTCAGGCTGGAAGAGGCCGGCCGGCTGGATCCTTGACCAGGAGGGCCGTCTGCATGTTGGCCTGCCCGAGGCCGTCTATCAGTGGGAAGAGGTGCGTACATGTGTGGATTTCTTTCGGCAGTGGTTAGGACTTGGGTCTGCCCAGCATCGAGAGTGGCGCATATCGCATGGTTTGCTGCACTGGTTCCAGTCTGACAAATATGTTCACGGCACATGCGCTCGCTCGTCCAGGTGGCGGACTGTCCAGTCTACGTCAGTCTAGCTGAAGCCGAGGCGTTTGCCAGGTGGGCTGGGGGCCGCGTCATGACGGAGGAGGAGTACGCCGCCGCCGTCCAACACAAGGAGCTGCAGGGCCTGCTCAGGAGCGTGGCAGCCGAGGCAGATGAGCAAGCCACCGCCCACTGCCTCGAGTCTGGTGGCTGGGAGTGGACAAGCACCCCATTCAAGCCTTTCCAGGGTGAGGCAGGCTGGCAGGAGGGGTCAAGGGGCCATGCCATGATGAAAGGACAGAGGAAGTACATGATCCTGAAGGACGGATGCTGAGAGACTAGTGCCCCGCACACTCCTAATCCCCCCTCATCTCCGTCCAGGATTCAAGGCCGACCCCATGTACCCTGAGTACAGCGTTGACTTCTTTGATGATCAGCACTATGTCTTGAAGGGCGCATCACCTTACACTCACCCCTCCATTCAGAGGGGGACGTTCCGTAACTTCTATCAACGGCTGTATCCCTTTGTCATGGCCAAGTTCCGGGTCGTCCTGGAGGCCACCATGGCATCTGCCTGAGGAGTAGGGGGTAAATTGACCTTCCTGCTGCCTCAAATCGGGTATCCACCCTCTGTACAACTATTCCTTTCCTTTTGCTGTGATGATGCTGGCGCGCTGGATCACGACGCGATCTGTCCCAGGGCCACTTCTTGCCCCATTTATTGCCCTGCTGTGCACCTGTACCCCTCTGCAGGCAGCCTGAGGTGCAGAGCAGTGTCTGCAATTTTGTCCGCGTTTGTGCACATGCTTTTGTAACGAGCGAAGCAGCCATCCTGTTTGCCTCCGGGGGGAGGTGGGTTGAAGATCGTTGGCCTGGAAAAAGGATGTGGCGGAGGCCACTGCGCGCATGATGGGAGAAAACCTCGCGCGCTGTGCTGGACCGGGATGCGTGTTCTGGGCAGGATCACAGCTCCCTGCAGATCGATTCTTGGGGAGACAGACTTCAGTGTGGTTGGCTGACCGCCACATTCGCTCATTCTTCGACCATGAGCCTTGGCAGGTCGCCGGCCAGACACCTGCCGGAGCTCAGGAGCAGGCCTTGGACCGTGGCCTGCAGCCTCGGACAGTCCAACTCCCGCAGAGTGAGGTGCATGCGGTACCGCCTGGGTGCAGGGAGGGGGCATTTGCTTTGACCAGCAGGCTGTGTGCGGTGATAGGTGGGATGAATGCAGCCAGGGTGGGCATAGGAGGTGTGCCATGACACTCCGATGGGAGGTAAGGTCAACCAAACTCCCCTCAAGCGGGGCCATTGGCATGCAAGCTCGGGCTCCTGTTCAGGATGGAAGACACCATCCCGTGACCCCTGGCCCAGACCATGGTAGATTCCAGGGGAGATCAGCTAACTCTCAATAACGGCCCCAGCCCTCAAAAGATGCTGTCTCACCAGTAGTGCTCTGGATTGCTGGGCGCATTGATGGTCTCCTCACTGGCAGGGCGGACCCTGTCCCAGGTCTCGAGGGCTATGATATCCTTTGGGTGATTGAGGGATGGGTGAGCCGGGTGAGCTGCCGACACCAGAGGGTGCAGGCCTTGAGTGCCGGCACTCTACGGCAAGTCACAGTACCAGCAGCGCCCCTCCGCTCCCGTTTGCAATCCTCGAGCTTTGCCGAGGGGGCAGGCTGCCCATTGCTCGTGTGGGTCGTCCCCTTTTGGCAAGACCCCAAACCCCCGCCCTACTACACCAGCACACCTGAATGGGGAAGATGGCCAGCACGGCTGGCGAGTCCACGTGTTGTTGCGCGATGGCCCGCATGATCTCTGGGGTGCAGGACGCTGGGGCGGGTCCCTCCCCTCCCAGCACCTGCAGCGCGGGGGGGGGAAGGTGTGGAGAATGCTCGCGAGACTGACCAGGAGGAATGCGTGTACAGGCGCACATCAGTTTCAAAGGAAGCAGGTGCATGCATTCCCCGGCGCCACTCGCTCTGACGAGAGCGGCCTTCGGCCCCGACCGGCCCCTGCGGTACCTGGGCGTAGTACCGCTGCCGCCTCGGGGCGTCCTCCTCGTACCACGCGCGTGTGGTGGTGGTGTCGTGGCTGGATGGCGAGGCCACGCACATGTAGGGGTAGTCAGCGGGGTCACCAAACTCCTCCTGGCTGGAGGGCATGCGCTGGATGCGCAGCGCTGGGGAGGCAGGGGTGGGGCTCGTTGGGAACGGGAATTGCGAGACAGAGGGGGTGCCCAGTCCATGCATGACAGGCACGCTGGATGAGGTGCGACACAGGACGCGGACAGGGGGATCCCCATGCACGCTCCCTGTTCTGTTGCTGGGGCACTCCAGTCCAGTTATAACAAGCTCTCAGCCCAGTCCCATCCCCAGCTCTCAACTTCGTTCTCAAGAGGTCCCAACCGCACAGCCCACTCCTTGATACCCATCCCACACCAGACACATTCCCACTGCCCCGGCTGCAGCGACAAACCCGTCTCACCCAGGATCCCCAGCTCCTCCATGATGGGTCGGACACACGCCGGCGTGAACCCCAGGTCCTCGCCACACATCAGCATGTCGGAGGATGAAAGGAGGGCGGGCAGCGTCCTGTGACCCTGTGCCCTCCACAGCTCCTCCTGTGCCCAAGACGAGGGGCAGGTAGGGGAATGTATGCAACTGTCTTGTGATCAGGGTTGGACAAATACAGTCTGAAAGGTGAGGCTGCACCCAGAACCACAATGGGCCGCCCGTGCGACAGACTGTCCCCGCTTGCCGACCAGGAGAGGATGCCCTGCCCACAGCAACCCCAGGACCCTCCATGAATGAATGACTGACCTGGCGCCGGTAGAAGTAGTCATCATGCTGCCAGGCCAGCTCCTCGGCCCAGGCCACATTGTCCAGGGCAGCAAAGCTGGTGGTCTTGGTCAAGTCAAAGCGCTGTGAGCGTGGTTGGAGAGTTCTGGCTTGTTGGACTGGGAGGTGTTGCAGTGCAGCCCATCGCTGCAGGAGCAGCGGTGCCTGGGACCATTAAAAACAAGTCATCACACCCACACACCCCTTGCCCAGCGAGGGTTGACCAAGCGCGCGCCGCACCGGGTAGAGCTTCTGTGGATCCTCGGGGTCCCTCAGAAGCAGCACATTCCGCCGCATCAGCAGCAGGGTCTCGTGGATCCTGGGCCAGGCGCTCACGGCCAGGCCGGACATGCCCTCCGGCACTGTGAGCGTCCGCAGCACCACCTCACTGCGTGGTGGGTGGGTGAGGGGCTCAGCGTGGTGGCATCTGTCGGGCCGGCATGCCAGACACGCGCCTGGCAGGGGCAGGAGGGCAGGGGGGTGCTGTTCCAGTCCCTTTCCACAAGAGAACAGCAGGCAGCTTGATGTGCGTGCCATGTCAGCCCCTCGATCACCTGGCATACTCCTCCCGGAAGCGGAGCCGATCGCCGTAGGAAGGCTCGAAGAAAGCGCTGGCAGCCTCCGCGGCCAGCACGTCGCCGAGCTCGGCTGTGAGCAGGGCCAGGGTGACATACGGCTCCTCCAGCCTGGGTGACGTGGGGGATGGAGGTGGGGGATTGAGGAACCCCTGGCACCCTGGCATGCAGTCAGTGGAGCTAAGGCTCTTGCATAACACGTTTGAGCCACTGCGAGGACTCTCATGCGCCAATGCGCCATCATTTCCCCATTACTCCACCTCCTTGTGTCCGACGTGCCTGTGGAAGTCCCAGATGCCCTTGGCTTCTAGCTCAGCTCTGGCAATGGGGATGCAGGGCCTGAAGTGCCCCATCATGCCACTCCAGCAGTCACCGGGGATCTCCCAGATGCGGAAGAAGCCGATGATGTGGTCCACGCGGAAAACCTGGGGGTGAGTGTGGAGGCAGGGAGTGAGCGGGTGCGTCCCAGGATGGGAGGTCGCGAGCGGCGGTCGCCTGTGCAAGAAGGATGGCGCACCGGGGCACCGCCTCCCTTCCCTATGTCCTGCCATTGCATCGCCTCCTAGGTATGTATCGCAAACTCTAAGAGAGCATTCCTCCTTCCTTCCACCCAGGTCCCGCCTACATGCCTGAAAGTAGCGTGCCATCTGGGCGAGACGTCGCCTCCACCAGGAGTAGTCGTCCTTGGCCATCTCCTCCCAGTTGTAGGTGGGGAACCCCCAGTTCTGACCGTCCTGGTTGAACCAGTCGGGAGGTGACCCTGGCGGGGCGTGAGGGAGTGTGAATGTGTAAGGCTGAAGGGGTGTTCCAGCACGCAGGGCACACAACGACCCAGGCTACAACATCAAGGCCTGCAATGAGGCAACAGCACCTGTGCCCGTGCCCATGTGGAACAGGTTGGGGTAGAGCCAGGTGTCCACACTACACTTGTCAACTCCTGTGAAGACAGCCAATGGGAGTGTGTGTGAGGGGACGAGGGATATCCCCGAAGGCTCCAGTCCTCTTTCCCACGGCCGCTTTCAGATTGGCGCTCAGTGGCTCCTTGTGGCCGACTGACTCTCAGGTTGGGCAGCCCATGACAACAACAGCCCGGCAACTCATGCCTCTTACTACTGCCACACCCTCCCGCGCCACCGCCCAGCCCCTTTTTGGTGAACACTGTCGCGCCAGTCCCCCCCCCCCCGAACATACGCACCTATGGGGAGGTCACCCTTTAGGACGACATGCCGCTCGCGTGCATAGGCGCTGGCAGCGCTGAGCTGGCAGTGCAGGTGGTACTGCAGGTACGAGCAAAACCACATGTCGCGCGCAGACTCGGAGTCTGGCCGCCAGAACTTGGCCGTCGCCCGTGGGTCGTAGGCGCTGTACCTGCCCCACTGGGTGTGGTCTGCCGTGCCGAAGAAGGACTGGAAGTAGCAGAACATGGAGTATGGCTTCAGCCACTCCTCGTGGTGGGCGCAGAACTCCAGGAAGGCGGGGTCACTCTACGGGGGGGGGGTCGGGGGTGGTGAGGCGCTCGACGCAGCTCGGCTGGGGCGGGGCAAGCGGTGGAACGACGCATGCATGCTGCACCAGCCAGGCCCCAAACCGCCCCCCGCACTAGGGGCATTGCGCCGCGGGCATGGACGTGATCGAGGTGCTTCCTGATGATACCCCACGTGCCAGCGCCGGCTCACCAGGAGCTGAGGAAATGCGGCGTCAAAAAGCTTGCGCGCAATGGCCAGCTTGGCAGCGAGCGTCTGCTCGTAGTCCATGTCTGGGAGGTTGAGCCTCCTGCGAGCCTCAGCAACCTCCTCCTGGATGGCAGACGCATGCGCCCCTGTCATGGCATGAGAGAGTAGGTTTGAGAGCCGTACGAGCATCCTCGGGAGCACCGCACCCCCAAGTACATTGAACCGTGATGTTCTGCAGGAGGGCTGGAGAGGTGCTGGATCCTCGACACCCACATGGAGTCGGCGAAAAGTTTTGAAACCATTTCCCTCGTACTGCAGCCTCTCTGATGATGAGCAGGCACCAGCACCAGTCCAGCACAGGCCCAACATGGTCCAGCAATCATGCACCTTGGGCGCAGCTGCCCGAGCAAGCACCAGGTGCCGACACCCTTGCACGCTCATCCTACCGGGCAGCCGGTCCAGGCAGAGGTAGAGTGGGTGCAGCGCAAAAACGCAGAGGGAGGAGTATGGATACGAGTCCCGCCAGTCTCCCTTGACCGAGGTGTCATTCACGGGGAGCAGCTGCACCACCGACAGCCCTGCGGGTGTCATGTGACGAGTCGCTCCTGTGACAGGCTGACAGCATGCTGTGCAAATTCGCGGGGAACCCTCGCCCGCCAATAATGCCCCGTTGCATGGATTGCCCCCTTTTCGGCCCCCATGCAAACCCCTCTTCGCTGCGCTCATGGCCATCATCGGCCCCTGTGCATCGCAAGCCACCCACTCATCAGATGGTTTGATCAGACACCCACAGGGGTACCTGTGTTCCTGCAGAAGTCGAGGAGGGGGCACAGGTCCGCAAAGTCACCGCACCCCACTGACGCCTCGGTGCGAAGGGAGAAGACGGGGACAGCAACACCAGCGCCCCTCCACCGCCGCTCGTGGCGGAAGAAGGAATCATTCCGTACCACGAGGAGGGGCAGGGGTCCCTCCTTTGGGGCTGTGCAGGGCAGGTGGAGGGGATGGGGTGAAGGGGCAGGCAGGAAGCGGTGAAGCGGAGGCGTGGATGGGGACGAGGGAACCTCAGGACGGGAGCTTTGGCCCGCACCTTCTCGAGACTGCCCCTCACCAGCCAGACAAGGAAGGAAGCATCCAGGCATGAATTCGACCGACCTGGCATCATCCTGTTCTCCCCAGCTTCGAGGAGGAGGGTTCCATCTGCGCCGCGAATCACATACTTGTAGGTCAGGGGAAATGACGTGTGCGGTATGCTCACCTGGAAGGGGCAGAGGGAGAGGGTGGCGCGCCATGCAAACAGTATGCATGCGCAGTGGGAGCGAGGGCATGCGGGGCAGCAAGGCCACGAGCAGTCCAGGCATTGCACGGCTCCATCGGCCTGATGACCGCACTTGTTCTTCCTCTCCACACATACACACGTTTGCCAGAACAGGCATACAAAGACCAAACCCCAACTTTTCTGACCTTGCCCGCCTCCACCCCCCTCACCTCTACCTCCCAGCAGGAGGGCGCGGTCAAGCGCAAGCTGAGGCTCTGGGGAAGCTGCCAGGATCCCAGGCCAGGGGCTCCTCCTGTGACGCAAACCTGCTGGCCCTCTTTCAGCTGCCAGTCCCTGATGGTGCGACGCAAAGGGGATGTGACACAGGAGGCCAAGGATGACTTTGAGTGAGCGGGTGAAGGTACAAAACACATCGAATGGGAGTGTAGCCTGCCACATCCCACCCTGAGCATGCCATACCACCCAGCCAGCCTCACCTGACTTGGAACTTGACAAGAGCATGCCCTTCGCAGATTGAGGGGCGAGGGCCCTCCGCTGCCAGCCTCGGGGTCTGGTGGTCGCCGAGGATTGCCTTTCGAAAGGCAGAGCGAGCAAACAGGTGGGCTGGGTGCGAGTCGTCCTGCAAGGATGAGATTTGGTGGGTCAGACCTTGTCGCCGCAGTACTCCCTGCTTGCTGTCCTCAGTCACGTTATTATATTGACTCCAGTCCAACCCCTCAAGCTAAGTTGCCTCAAGCCCTAGGCATCAGGTAACCAGCAGTATAACTCCCGCTCCTGCTCCTCGTGGCCTCCCTTGTTGAGCACCCCTTGCAGGAGCAACTCAGCTCCAGCCCCACTGTCCACCAAGTCACGAACCAGCACAGCCTCGCAGCACCTCACCTCCCAGACATCTGTCACGGTGACGATGGCGTCGTTGACGAGGTCAGCCGGGAGGTGCAGTGTGTGCGACCCCGACTCCCATTTGACCACGTTGAGCCTCGCATCCACCACCGCATACTTGTACAGCAGGTCGGCCGGGTGTGCCACGCGCAGCGAGGTCTGCCACACCAGGGTGGAACCCACGTGGCTGCACTCCAGCTTGTGTCCCCTGCACGGCGTGGGCGCAGGGAGGGGAGCAGCTGCTCTGGAACCCCGGCATCGGTTGAGGGCTGCTGGCCGCCTACAGCAGTGCCGGCAGCGCCATGATTGGAGCATCGGCCTGGCCCCTCCACTCACCGCTCCACATCCAGATTGCCTAGCATGGGTCCAGGACCACATAATACGAGCGCTTCACCCCACTGAGTGTGGTAAAAGGTCTTGAACCTCAGGGTTACCTCCCCCGCCGGAGACATGTGCGCAACCGACCTCCAGAATGCTGAGGGTATGTGAGGATCATGCGCAGCCGAGCACCTCCAGCCGCATGGTACTGAAGGGGTTATCTGCAGTTTCAGGCTGTCAAGAGGGGGCACGAATAAATTTAGGGATCCCCGGACTCGCCCCATCATGTGCGCGCTCAGGCTTGACTAAGCATTCGCACCTCCAACATCTAGTCCCCGCAAGGCAACCTGCAACATTGGGCGACCCTCCGCAAAATCAAGAATCAGTGATGACATTTTTCCCACTTTCAATCATAGGTTCCTTATCCTCTACTACGCTTGGCATGCGATAAACGCCGCGATCGCTGTTCTTCCCGCTTGGTGTGGGGATGGCCACCGGCACCCCTTTCCTGATCCTTTACAAGGCGCCCTCGGCCTGGGGTCTTCCCTCTCTGTCGATCTCAAGCATACAAATTGAGGTGTGCTATTGGGATCGCTGCACACTGCAACGTGGCACATCCCGTGTGCTCAACCTCGATCACCCTCCCTCTCTCACTTTTCAGGCATACCTTCAGCTGGCGGGGATCTCGTACACCGTGCGGGAATGCTCGTCGGACTCTCAATCCCCCACGGGCCGCTTGCCCGCTCTCGAGGCGGGTCCGACCCTGGTGGGCTTAGCCCCCGTCAAGTGCCCCTACACCCCGGCCGAGGAGGAGGCAGCAGCGGGTGCCCTCCTGAGCTACCTGCGCGAGTCTGTGCGCGACCTGGATCAGGGTCTGAAGGGAGGGGCCAAGGGCGAGGCAGTGGCCTTCCGATCCCTCCTGCAGACGTCCCTCCTCCCCGCCCTGGTGTACTCGGCCTGGAGTGAGCTGGAGGCGTACTCAAACCACATGCAGCCCGCCGTGGGAGCCCAGCTGCCCTTCCCTCTCAGCTACATCACACCTGCAATGCACCGCCGGGCTGTGCGCCAGGCTTTTCGAACGACAGGCGAACAGGTGCACTCGAGTGTTTAGGAGTGCATGTTTGAATGTAGTATGCATCTTGGGGGGAGGGAGGGGGGTAGATGCGTGTGCACTGGCATACGTGGAGGCCCAGTGCCGAGGCTCATACTATCTGACAGTGGATGTGGGTAACCCACACACCAGAGGGCTCTGTTGTATTTGCACCCATCCTTGTACATGGTCTGAACCTCAGGTGTACGCAACAGCTGCGGCAGCCCTGGACGCCTTTGCGGCCAAGCTTGCGGGGGGGGAGGGCTACCTTCTGGGCTCCAGCCCCAGCACCATTGGTGAGTTGAGAAAGGAGCGCCACAGTCCTCCCCCAGACCGGTTCTGGCGGGGGCCCTTCCTGCGGCCCTGCAGGGTGGTGGTGAGGACATCCCCCTTTTCCACGCCACGCCGTGCCAGCGCTCTGTGCTCCCCTCACCCATGCAGATGCTCAGCTGTACGGCTGCCTCACCTACCTTCGCTCCGCCCCCGTGGTGCACCCCCAGCTTCACCGCCACTTCCTTGGGCAGCGGGAGCTGGTGGCGTACACGGTCCGCGTGGGAGAGGCGCTGGCGGGGCTGGAGGTGCCCCTGCCCCGGTCGGACCCTGGGGCAGCCGGACCCTCGTGGAGCGAATGGTCTTGGGGGGGGTCCACTTCCAGGTGGGCTGTCTTCAGTGGCTGCAGGGGGCATGGTGCCTTTTTGTGGCTGGCTCACAACGGGACGGGGCTGGATGGGGTCCGCTGAAGAGGTGGCAGAATGGGTCGCGAAGTGCGGATGGCACTCCCTTGGGAGGAGCCCCTTGGTGTGGAGCGGACAGAGGCAAGGCACACTGGTAGCCCTGACTGCAGCGAGGTGGCATTGTAGGGCATCCTTCCGCTCACTGTGATTTGCGACCCTTGAATCATTCTTCGCAGGGCCAGCAAGGAGGCAAGCGCCCTCTCCGCAGAACTAAACCGCAAGGGCAAGATCTGGGTGGGGTGTGCTGCTGCCGTCATCGTGGCCTACGTAGTGTTTGGGGGCCAGTACTTCCAGTTTGGGTTTCTGGATGACGAGGACGATGACCTGGACGGCGACTATGAGTGAGCGGACGTATGTGAGCTGCCCTGCCCCAAGCGTCTACCGCCCAGGCCATTGCTGTGTGAGTGCTCAGTCTTGTAATACAGAGGCGAGTTACCGGACACGCCAGATTCGATGTAAGAACAACGAGCTCGTCCTCTAAGGGTAAAGCCCTTCTGGACCCGCTTGCTTTCCTCCGAGATTGACTATACCGTGTCACGGGCTCTCCATGCCCGGTGCAAACCCTTTCCCCCCCGACCGCTGCGGGGCATCTCGATAATCATTGCAAACCTCTCCATACCGTAAACCGATCTCGTATTGCTCCCACTGATCCCAGCCCGCGGTCTCCGCTATGTTGCGGGTAGTCCGTGCGGCAGGTCTGCTCCGCACAAGGGCAGCGCCCAGCTGCAGCTGCGCTGGTAGGCTGTTCTCTGGAAAATCCAAGCCCACGGATGAGCTGGACGATGCCTCCTATGAGCTCCTTCCGCCCGGTGCCAGCATGAAGGACCCCCTATACGGACTCAGGTGGGGCCAGCTGCCCCGTGTGATGCGGGCACTGCTATGCATAGGCTCGCATGCATAGGGCTGATGGTCTGAGGCGCCCACTCTCTCCTCTATCGCCCCACCCCCTCGCAGCCCCGACGCGAAGGTCTTCCACCACGACAACAAGCAGGTGGTGACCGACAAGCAGAGGCTGTCTGATGCCCTCCCACATAGCAGAGAGGCAGCACAGCAAAAGCTGAGGTCCCAGGTGAGCGAGGAAGCTTGGAGAACCAAGTTTGTGTTGGGTGTGATCTCTGGATGCAAGGGACGGGTCACGTTGAAGAGCACAAAAGTGGGGCAGGTTGGGGTTAAGTCAGCGCATGTTCAGCCTCCTGCATTCTGATGTATCTCCCCCCGCCCCCCCACATATATGTATCTCCCCCCGCCCCCCCCACATATATGTATCTCCCCCCGCCCCCCCACATATAAGTCGACCAATCCCCGCCCTCCCTGGAATCCATAGAAGTACCGCAAGGCGCCGGCGGATGACGAGGACGATCGGTACGTGTACCTGCCCCCTGGGTCGAGCATGCGCGAGCCGGGCGACAGCATGTCGGACCCCGGCGAGCGGAAGGTGTACCGCCGCGACCCCACCCCCCTGCCCAAGAAGGGAGAGTGAGGGCTGGAGTGGCTGCAAGGCACCCTGCCACCGGCTCCCTCCGCCACCTCCCCTTCTTGCCCCTTCCGGACTGCAGTGTAAATCCAACACTTGTAATAGCTCGCGCACTCTCAGGTTATGTGGGGCCAGTCTGGAGGTGGATTGTGATGCACCGGAGGACCTTCAGAGGTCCAGACCGCCTGCTGCTCCCGCGCCGGTGCCCTCCAACCACCGGTGCAGCACCTCTTGGTCTGACCTCGACACGAGGGCCAGGTTGGAGATGCCTTGCTGCCCTGCCAGGACCCTGACGTGGCCGGGGGCACTGCAGCAGGGACGAGGAGGCGGGGCTGAGAGGGGCGGTGGGGCGCAAAGAACACTCCAATGCGCATGCGGAGCGTATCCCAGGGCACGGGCTCGGACGCGGCCCGGCGCCGTCCCGCATGCCCACCTGTCACCCCCCCCCAACGAAGCCCCTCTCACCAGGCGGGGTGGAACCATTGCCGCGCCGCGCCGCCGCGGCCCTGGTCGGCGCGGTCCAGCACAAGGCACAGCTCCTCCTCGCGCAGCAGCGCGCTGCAGGCCCCGCAGTGCGCCCTCATCCCGGCCGGGCCGTAGGAGGCGAGGACGCTGGTGTCGGGCGGCCCGGCGCCTATCCTGGGATTCCGGGCCTCCAGGACGGCCCGCCGTGCGGATCGTGCGGCGGGCGCCACCGTGGTGTGGAAGTCGCCTAGGATGCCGCCTGGGGTGGGACCGGTGAGGAGAGGGGTTGGAGGAGGCGCCTCACGATCCTCCTCGGGGTACTGGTTGAGTGAGGCCTGGGCAGGCTGACTCTAGCGAGGGTGCAAGGGCCAGGTGCATGTGGTGCCGGGCTCCTCGCGCCTTCCTGCGCCTGGCGAGAGCATGGCCAGTCCGCAGTCTCATCATGTCCTCACACCCGAGGTGGACTTGCCAGCGCGTGCATGTTGCTCTTCACTCGCTGCCATTCCCCGCCTCCACCCCCTCCCCCAATCAGACACACACACCTCCCACCTTGGAGGCGGCCCGACGGTTCGCGCGGGCCCCGCGTCGGGTGCCGCGCGACTAGGACCGTCTGCCTGACGACCTTGCGGGGCAGCGCCTGCATCAGCACGGGCTCCAGCTCGGCGGCGCGGGCCTTCCAAGCCGCCTGCTTCTCCTCGTGCATGGTCTTGGTCCTGGGTGACGCCTGGGCAGGGGTGAAAGAGGTGGGGTGAGGTGTAGTCGGCAAGGCAGACATGGGGTGAATCAGGAGCCTCTGGCGGTAGACCAATGCCGGGGCATGCGTGGCCGCCAGGGGCTGGACAGCGGGGCATGCTGGTCCTTCACCTGCTGAACCAGCAGGTCCAGCACGCCGTCGATGGCCTTTTGCCTCACCGGCGGCGCGGTGCATGGCGTCCTGTGAGTGTGTTGTGTGTGTGTATGGGAGTCAACTCTGCATGGGGTGGAAGTGTGTGGCGGGTCCAGAGGTGCATGGCCTCCTCTCATGGCAGCCGAGGGGCTCAGACTCTCACGCACCTCCCCCCGCTGACGGCCCCCTCCCCCAGGGCTGCAAGGGGCCACGTCCCACGCAAGCCCACCCACCGGCAGGTAGGGCACTGGGGCGGGTCCTTGAAGCTGCGATACAGGTCGCCTAGGCACGCCCCGCAGAAGAGGTGGCCGCATGGCACCAGGACATGGGTGGCCACCAGGTTTTCCTGAAGGGGGAGGGGGGCGAGGTACATGGGCGCAGGGACCGGCCGGCGTGGTGGGGATCGCCGCCTGCGACCCAGGCCCACGAGACTCTGCAGACTCCCACCACCACACCCACACGTCCCTGGCGGGTCCGGACCCCCTGCAGCAACCCCTCGCGTCGCCAGCCTGCCTGACAGATGGCGCAGACCAGGTGCTCCGTGATGGCGTGGAGCTGCAGGCGCCGGGCCTCGGCCCACGCCGCCTTCCCCTCGGGGGACACGCTCGCCCTGGACCGGCCCCCGACCAGCTCCTCCCCCGCGCGTTTCGGCCTGGGCCTGCTCGGCGAGGAGGCTGGGCGCGGGAGCATGCTCGCGCTGCTGCCACGCTGAGGCTCGGCGGCGCTCGCGTCCTTGTCTGGGCTGCTGCTCGTCGCCGTGGACAAAGCGGTGGCAGGGTGCCATGCCTCTGCCTGGAAAGTGGCTGGGTCCTGCTGCTGTGGGGCAGCAGGGGAAGCAGGGATGGCCAGTGAGGCCGATATCTCCCCAGAAGGTGCCCGTGGGGGTGCAGCAGCATCCGACCCGAACACAGGCCCCTCGTCCTGCACTTGGATTCATGGGGGACAACATCCGAACTGAGCTGGTGCGGGGCCTGCCGGTCTGTGCTGTAGGAAGCCAAGCCTTCAGGGTGCACAACGAGCCAGCATCAATGCCGACCACAGCCCAGCCTTGGTTCAGAGAATGCACACCCACCTCCACAAGGTCGATGGGCAGCGAGCTGTCGTCCTCCACGCCGGCCAATGGCAGGGGTGGCCCGATGAGACAGGTGTTTGGAGGAATGCTGGCATCCACTGAAGCCGGAATGTCTTGCACTGACGCTGTGGGGGAGCGATTTCGGCGTGATCCTCGAGACAGGTGTGCCCAAGAGACACGCGTCAGACCATGCTTCGCGCTCCCTCAACAGGTCTGCGGCATGACAGGGTCCCTTTTTTCCAAGCTTTCTTTGTACCTGCGGGGTGGCTGCATGGGCTCCGGTCTGCCTGCTCCTGCAGCAGTGCCTCTGCCTCCAGATTGAAAGCATGCCTCGTGTTCTCGTCGGCAAAGACAGGCTCCACCCACTCCCGCTGCCTGCTCGTCGCCAGGGACCGCGCCGGGCTGAAGCTGTACACCTCGCGCCTCGGCTGGGAGTCGAGGTGTGCAATGGGGCAGGGCACCTCCGTGCCGGTACCTGAATCCGCTTCGGGGCCTCCCCCGCTGCTGAACCGGAAGGCCCAGGGATTCGGGATGAAGGTACTCTTGGGCTTCACAGTCTGGGGCCTGCGAGGGTTGTGATGTTGGGAGAATGTGGGGTCCAATCTAAGTAGGCACATGGATGTAGACTTCGGCCCGCTCCTTGGCCTCACTGCAGACAAAACGACTCAAAATCCCCAGGACCCACCCGCCAAAGTGGAGGATGTCGCCATCCTCCAGGACATGCCAGCTCTCAGGCTCCAGGGGACTTCCATTGAGGAAGGTGCCATTCGTTGCATTGTTGTCCAGGATGGAGAATCGTCCCTCGACAGCCTGGAGAGGACCCAATGCGAGCAGGAGTCGTGCTGAGAGCGGTCCAGAACCTGGTCAGAGAACGCGGTGTACAGCACTTGGCGGCCCGATCAGATCACCTTGATCAGGGCATGCCGCCGGGAGAGCATGTAGGCTGTTCCAGGGGGTGCGCTTTCGAAATGGCTCGCAGCGACGTGGCAATCTCGGTCCCTTCCCACGATGATGCGGCCGTCGGCCCCGAGGTCCTCCAGTATACTGTTGAGATTGTAGGTTGGCCCATTGGGTCGCAGATTCCTCAGCATGGCTCCCCGCCAAGGGAGTTGGGGCACCGACACAGCCACCTCCAAGCTCGGCTGGAAAACTGTGCCGGGCCCCCACAGGAGCTTATGCCAGGCGATCTAGCTTCGTTGCCTTTGAACTGTAAAGCGTGGCAAATCGCCCATTGGCGATTCCTGTGTTGATGAGCGAGGACTCGTACTGTCGGGAGCCATCAGCGACAGCCGGTGATGATTTCATGCTGGGGCACAGCACAGAGGGGTCAGTGAAAGGTAGAGGGTGCCCTTTGGTGAGTCGAATGGGGGGCTGGACCACCTTGCCCTTTGACAAACGAAGTCCAGTTTGAGGTGTCCTATATCTTACTTGTAGATGCAGAAGTGGCTGTGCTAAAAGGTTGTGCAAGTTGGCTGGCTGTACTACACGTCAGTGTTGAGCCCCTGTTACCTTGACATGGATGTAACGATAAGATCTGCGAGCATTGGATCTTAGAAGTGTTCTTGCCCGGTGTCGAAGGGGATACTCGCATCCCTGATGTTGTGAGGCTGCGTTCTGACAGAGGAGCTGCAAAATAACAAGGGTGACGACATACCTCTTGCTTGCATCATGTTCTGGGCGCTGGCCGCCACACTCATTCAGAACCTGCAGCAGTCCCATTGCTTCGTTAAGCCTTCACATCCAATCGTTCATCAGTGTTGACCTCATCCACATTGATCAACTACGCACATCTGCAGCATCAGCTGGACATGGTGATTGAGCTGCGTGATGATGTTCAATAACATAGCCAGCAGTAATCGCGAAGTTTTACATCGGATTCAGATCCAACCACATTCTGATGTGCGAGAGGTACCAGGTTCGATTCCTGGATGGTCCAATGAAGGACCACGGGCCATTAGCTCATATGGTAGAGCGCTCGCTTAGCATCTTGTGGAATTGTTTTTTGGTACTGGGTGAAGCTGGGAATTTACATGCCCCCGCTTCATGGCATGTGCCACTGAGGTTGCTGAATCAATGGATTCATTGTTGACACATGACCCACCCATTGGGTAGAAGATGGTGCAGGCGAGGAAGATTGCTGGCCATCACCTCCTCAGACCCACGTCCATGGGGCCCGGCAGGAACAAGAAAGCTGTCAACCATGCCCCCGCTGCGCCGGAGGCCCTGGCACCGGGTCAGAGCCTCGCAGCCGCGCTGGCCCCCGCCAGTCCCTGCCCCTGCAGGGCTCTCACCAGCGCCACCACATCGGCATCGCTGTGCGCGGCGGACAGGCTGATGCGCAGCCGGCTCGTGCCGGGCGGCACGGTGGGTGGGCGGATGGCAGGGACGTGGAAGCCGGCGCGCCAGAGGTCGTCCGCCAGGCGCAGCGCCCGGGCCTCGGCGCCCACCACCACCGGCAGGATGGGGGACCGTGACGGCACGCCCAGTGCGCCGCTCAGCACGCCGACGTGGCGCCACAGCCGCCGGCGCAGCTCCGGCTCCTGCGGTCAGGTATTCGTTTTGGAGGGGGGGATGGGAGGTGGGGGGGGGGGTGGGCCATG